CTTCTCCTCAGGAATTTAAGAAGGGGGTGGTATTCTCAGCCATAACGCCGTTGAGCTGAAACCAAAATAGAAGAAAAGCATAGGGAAGAAAGAAAAAGAACCAATCATAAATTTTGTTGCATCTCCTCCCCGTTACAACGTATTACATCAAAACGCCCCTTAACAAGAAGTTGGGGGTGGTGTTCATTGCTTTAAGACGTCGTTATGTCCGCCACCTCAACCATAACGCGAACCGACCTATGTCAAGTGTGGCATAAGTAGGGGGACAACTTAGCCTTGAGCTGACTAGTCCCTCACCTGAATTTTCCTCACAAGCTATAATCAAACCCCAAAGAAAGGAATAAAAACTAGACTGTGCTATTTTGAGATCTTTAGTATCTAACTGCTACAATTCACATAATATCTCATTAATTTATGATTTAGACACATTTTTCCCACTTGATCTCGAATTAACCTTGGTGTAGTTGTGCTCGTTTGGCCTCTTGTTTGACTTAGACTTAAATTCTGCTTATAGTTGTATATAGTTTTGTATTTTTATTTTCAAGCTATACTTGTAAAACTCCTGTGGTAAACCAAAAAAGTCAGCAAAAGAGAGATAGAGAAAGAGAGAGAGAGAGAGAGAGAGAGAGAGAGAGAGAGAGATACAATTACCCCTTTTTCCCAGTTTTATTTTGTTTTGTGAGTCAAAAGTAAATTGTTTCAAAAGTGTCGTTCGAAATAAATTTTGCATCAATTTACCAAAAATTTCAATAAAGTCTATTAGTTAGTTTGTGTACGTGAAATTTCATATGTAACCAACTTGTTTGGAGAAGTCAAAATTTGATCTTTCGTGAAATTTGAACCTTATGTTTGCTGGTTCTAGTCTTTAGAAGTCTAGTAAAAAAAGGTTTTGAAAAACCGGATTTATCGCAATCATAAAATGGGAATGTAATTTTATATTTTTTAGTGCTTTCCTCTTTGTGTCTTAAATTATTGTATTTGTAACATGTCTTTGGGGTTTTGTTATCCAAAAAAAAAAAAATAATAAAAATACAATAAAAAAAAAAAGAAAAGGCCGGGCCACGAAGTTGTATCAATTTGTTTGCTTTTGTAGATATTTAGCATTTTTCGGATTTTAGCTCATGTAATTTGTTTCTAGTTTGATGTTTTTCTAGTTAGATATCATTTTTGTTGGCAACTACGATGACACCCTTCACTCATCACATGCTCAACTCTTTGCTCTACATGGATCTTATTTTGGTGGAAGCACTTACTTTTCTAGATGATTGTGGTTTGCCAACCCTTGTACATAGCTCGTTGCTTCCCATTTTTAGCCTGAGTTATTTTTTTAGGTTTTATTTCTTGACATGGGGTTAAAGTTGTGAGGAGTAAGGAACATTCTAACCGAGGGACACTTTCTTATGGCTAGTAGGCTAGATTGGACCACGAAACCATGTCACATAAACCATACTAGTGCTCGTTTTGCATCTTGATCAACATGTATCCCTTGCTAGAAAGGTAATAAAGGCTTGTCACTTAAAGTAATTCTTACCCTAAAAATGGATTATTTGTTTTTATTTTAAGGGTGTGTCGTAAATTTCTACCTAAGATGTTCATTCCTTTTTCTTTTTAGGATAGTTCATCCCACGTTCATTTTAGTCTTGTCTTACTTAAGGACAAGTAAGGTTCAAGCTTGGGGTGATATGATAGTTTCATTTTTATTACTTTTTTTCATAGTTTATTTTTAGTTAAAACCATCTCATTTTAGTTAGGCTTCATGCATATTTTCTCTTTTTATTATTTTTTTCCTTTACCGGGTGCTTTCCAGTCTTTTGAGCTTATTTTGCAGGATTTACTTAAGACTATTCACTACGAAAGGTTGAAGGAGCATTGAATCACTGGAGGCTTTGGAATAACACAATTGGGCTCTCAAGATTTGTGCATGTGGGCTTGAGTGTAAATTAGAAGATTGGGCTGGATTGTATTTTTAATGGGCCAAGGCATGTAATCAGCGAGACCCATGCGATCTGCGTGGATCCATACGCAGTTCGCATGAATGGTGCTGAAGTGAACCCGAATTTTGACTTGTTGAATCTATTTTTGGAAGGTTGGTGGGTAGCTTTTGGGAACTTTTCGAATCCGGAAATGAAGCCCTTTTTTGTTGGAGATTTGAAGCATTTTTCAACATAATCACTTGGAGAAAACCTGATCTTTTCTCTCAAGAACACTTTGAAGAATTTGAAGATTGGTGGTATTTCTTTCCATCTTACACTTAGAACAATGTTTGATATTTCTAAACTTTCTTGTATTTCTTTTATTTTGTCCATGCTTGGCTAGATTTTCATGTGGTTTATTAGGCTTTAATCCCATGGATGATTGGTTACTTTGAAGACTAAATGCTATCTTGTGTTTTATGTTTATGGAAATATTTTCTAGTTGAACATCTTGTTATGTTTGTTTATCTTTGATCATTAGCTTGGATGAATAAATATTTATTTTTGTTGATCAATTTCTTGGTTAAGTAATGGACTTTGAAGGTAGTAAGAAACAAATGGCTTCTATGTTTGTTTTCATTTCATTTAAACCATGAGAATGTTTCCTCCATAATGATAATGTAAGCATTTGATTATCTTATGGACTTGGTAACTCTTAGAACTCAAAGTTAATTGATTTTCACAAGATTATATGCTTCATTGATTTTGTGTCTTTAATTACGGGAATGTGTTAGAGCTCCTCTAACCATTTTAAAATCTAAGAAGGGTTGAGGTAATTTGTGCTTATTAATTGCTATAGCCAAGTTAAACCAATTCACAAGTTTTGTTCCTTTTAGTCTAAAGATAAGTCAACTATGTTATCCATGTGGTGTATCCCAAAATCAACCAATTTCACTTCATTGAATTTAGAGTAAATTACACGAATGGTCCCTATGGTTTAGGGTAATTTTCACGTTTGGTCCCTAACTTAATTTTTTTAACTCGGAAGGTCCCTACTGTTTGGTTTTGTTATGCACTTGGTCCATGTCTTACATAAAAAGACTATTTTGCCCTTGATTTTTTTAATTTTTTTTAAATAAACACACCCCAACCATACCCACCTTACATTACCTTACTTATCTCACCATTTTTCCTATTTAAATAATAGTCTTTTTAGGTAAGATAGGGACCAAACGTGTAACAAAAACAAATTCTAGGGACCAAGCATGTAACAAAAACAAACAATAGGGACCTTCCGAGTTAAAAAAAAAGTTAGGGACCAAGCATGCAAATTACCCCAAACCACAGGGACCATTCGTGTAATTTACTCTTGAAATCAAATATTTTACTTGTTTATTTGTCATATTTACATTTTAGCTAGTTTTAATTTTGTCAAACAATCAAAAACATTGAAACCCCTTATTTTACTTTTACTTTTGTTTTACAAGTACTTGAACAAGTGATTTCCATAGAGATTCAAATTGAACCAATTTCCGTGGACATGATCACTTTACCACTATACACTATTTTAGTATGTAATATTTAGGGTTATTAATTTTGTTGGCCTCGACAATCACCGTTTTTGGTCTTCAAAATTCAAAAAAAAAAAAAAAAACGTTAAGAGGAACTTCATCTTACCATTTTAATGAGTTTTCAATAAAATATTTCAAAAATATTGCTGTTAAGATGTGTTGTATTTTTTTAAAAGGTCCATATTTTTATAGAATAAAAGATGAAAATGTTGTTTTCTAAAGAGTAAATTACACGAATGGTCCCTATGGTTTGAGGTAATTTGCACGTCTGGTCCCTAACTTACCTTTTTAACTCGGAAGGTCCTTACTGTTTGTTTTTGTTACGTGTTTGGTCCCTTCTATTTGTTTTTGTTACGCGTTTGGTCCCTATCTTACCTAAAAAGACTATTATTTGATTAAGGAAAGATGATGGGATAGATAGGGTAAGGTGAGTGGAGTGGGGTTAGGAGTGTGTTTATTTAAATAAATTAAAAAATCAAGGGCAAAATAGACTTTTTAGGTAAGATAGGGACCAAGCGTGTAACAAAAACAAACAGTAGGGACCTTCCGAGTTAAAAAAATAAGTTAGGGACCAAACGTGCAAATTACCCTAAACCATAGGGACCATTCGTGTAATTTACTCTTTTCTAAATAAATGGTCATTTAAATGGTTTTTTATATTATATTATGAACATATATTCTATGCAAAATACCATGATGAAAAATGGCATAATCTAAAATATTATGATTTAAAATATTTTGGTTGATAATTATTATGATTCTGAATTATATGGTTGAAAATGTTTTTTGATCCACGATAATATCATCCAAAATATTTTAAAACTTAAATGATATGATTTAAAATGGTATAATCCAAAAATATAAACAACGTTAAAAATGAATTAAAAACATAAAAAAATTGAAGAAAAAAAACCGAGTTTGGTTTTATTAAAAAATGAAAAGAGAAAACCCTACTTAAATGACGCTCCTTGGGAGCTTCTCGAATACAATCATATATCTTTGAGTCTATATTACGTTCTACGGATATACGTCACACATAATTGCATCACTTTCAAAGATGACGTTTGAGGTTATTGTCCTTAACAAAATGGGTGGTTTAGAAATTAGCCATGTGGGTTCTACTGTTTATAGTTTGTTCTATATGTTTAATACGATATTTGAAAAGTTGATAAGGACCAGTTTGAAATATTGTTTTCATTTTTGGTATGGATGATCCATATCTGCGCCACAGAACCCCATCTTATTTGTTTTAACTGCATGATTACATATCTAAGCTTTACGCATTTCCCTTCCAAAATCATATTCTTTTTATGATTTAAAATTCTATTTTAAACAAATAAATAAATAAATAAATAAATAAATAAATAAACCGAATAACTGGACCAGTAATGTAATTTCTTCACCATGATTACTATCAATCTTTAGGTTGGACCAAACACATAAAGTGGACCAAACCAAAGGGACCATTTCTAAATTTACTCCATATATTTTGATTTGATAATGCATTCACCACATCAATTCGTTTCTCCCGCGAATTGTCTACCTTAGTACCTTACCCTTCCTGCTGTGCATTATTTCCCATGTCCATACTCCATACTCCTGTTCCTCTCCAACACCGACTACAACTTCCCACTCTCCTCACCACAAGTTCTGCTTCTCTTTTTCGTCATTCATCAATTGTTTTCGATCATTCATCATCAATCGTGATTTAACTCAACTGGTAAGTCCCTTTTCTTAAAATTCTTCAAATTGTCACGAACCCAAATGTCCCGTTCTGAATGCAAGTAACTTGAATTAAACCCCTTAGAAGATCAGGATTTTAATCAATTTCCCACCTGGGTATTGTGCAGTTTTTTTAGTTTAAACTTGAAATTACTAGTTTTTCCATCCGGGTTTTTGTTAAATTCGTCAAATTTGTGAATATGAACTCACATTTACAAGTTTTTGCCTCCAGGGCCTCGTTCAAATCTTGAAATTGGTGGTTTGAGCATAAAATCACAAGTTTTCAAAATCTGTTTTTTTGTTTGTTGAGCAATAATGGCTTCTTCAATGCTGCGTGGAGCTGAGAATCTCGCAAATATAAGAGGAAGAGTATACCCAAACGGATTAGAGTTTAACGGGTCAGATTTGCATGGCAGAAAGTCTTTCCTGAAAATTAATCTGGCTAGTGGGAATTCGAATTTGAGAGGTATAAGTAAGAGGCTAGTTGTAACCAAGTGCAGTGTGTCTGTACCAAGGCCAGCTTCACAGCCTAGGTTCATCCAACACAAAAAAGAGGCGTTTTGGTTTTATAGGTTTCTTTCAATTGCATATGATAATGTGTTCAACCCGGGTCATTATACTGAAGACATGAGAGATGAAGCCTTGGAACCTGTTGATCTCAATAGCCGCGATATGATAGTGGTGGATGTTGGTGGTGGGACCGGCTTCACAACTTTGGGTATTGTGAAACATGTTAATGCTAAGAATGTTACCATTTTGGATCAATCGCCACATCAGCTTGCTAAAGCAAAGCAAAAGGAGCCATTGACGGAATGCAAGATCATCGAGGGAGATGCTGAGGATCTTCCTTTTGAAACAGATTATGCAGATAGATATGTATCAGCCGGAAGGTATATTTTTCTCAAAATTTATCATCTTTGGGGGTTTATGGATGTATGTTCTATAAGTTGTTACTAGGTTTAAACTCTTGGAAACCACGATTGAGAAAGAAAAACATTATTCATAATTCGAAATCGTAACCACTAATCAAATATTTACAAAAGAAGTTATTAATTTACAAAGATAGAAGTTCCGTATGTAAGTTACTAATTTTGTTTTAAAATAAATATATACATAGTTATGAATATCTAATTTATGCGTTGCAAGTTCATATATTTGATAAAATCATGACTTTGATGCAATATACATTTAGTGTTCCTTATACATATTTGGATGCAAACTAAATGTTTTAGGACAATTATCGCAAAAAACATTATTCAGAGGTAGAAATCAAGTTAACAAAATAAATGTCACATTAATAAGTGCACTTTTATGTAACAATAGACATAAAGACACAAAAAATAGATAAAACTAAAAGAATAATAAGAAACAAATGAAACCTTAATTAGTATATGAAAAACATAAATAGTTCTAGTGACTATATGATGATAACAATATTAGCAAATTGACTTTCTTACGGACCATGCAATCATAGTGAGTCCAATACTCACATCCAAAGGTTGTCACTACTGGTCTTCAACAATCACAATATAGTCGATAATCACCTAAACAATTGATTCCAAATCAAGCAGCCTCATAATTTCGGCTTATAACTCTCAGGGACGGACGCATAAATACATGGTAGGTGTTGCCGATACATAAAAAATAGGTATAAAAACCGGCTTATGGAACCGGTGAAGGTCTTTGGAGAGGAGCAAGATAAATAACTCTCAATTTGCACGCTTCAACAACTTCCCATGCCTCCTTACTGACCTATAAACACAAGACCACAATAGCTAAAAGCTTTAAATTACGAATATTATTTTAATATTTTTCATTCATCTTTTTACCATTTCAGGGGTAACATCTTTTGTGGTTGCTCCTGGACCTACAACTACACTCTAAATTAGAAACTTATCATACATTGCAATTTGCAAGTCAACAGGGGCTTTCTTCTTAGCTTGCATTATTATTTTGAAACACAAACTAAACAAACAAACGATAAATACTTAAAATTATATTGAACTTCAAAAAAAAAAAAAAAAAACTAAATATAGAGGAAATCTACCAGTAACGTAACATGTTTACTAGAGGCAACACAACTCCAATATCCAGACGATTGTAGTAGTTCTTCGACTTCATTGTCTTCACCTAAATGTTTTGCATCAAATGTTTATAAACCTTAACCTCTTTCAAGATCGAAGTTACCAATCAAGAAATCAAATAGTCCTTTCTTAAGCTCTTTCTCAAAGTCAAAAAAGAATGAAAATGACAAAGAAGAAGGGAGTTAGGGATTTCAAAATCAAATCCATAGCGATTCAAGGTATCGGGATTTGGGACGAATATTTTGAAGGGATTAACATGGAAAGTAACCAGTTTATGCATATGATTTGAAATTCAAATTCCAAAAATCAAATCTTCAACTTGTAATAGGTTTGAGGGGTATATTTGGTACTTTATTTTTGCTTAGAAAGACTTGAGGAGACGCCACATGCCAAAAAATGTACTCTTTTATTATAATAGGAGATATAAAGTTCCCGTACTCATTTTTTTTAACTTACTTCCGCATAAATTATTGGGAAAATGATCTAAAATGGCAACTAATAACATCAAATTTTCTCACTGAAGTTTTAATTGTATCCAATTGTCTAGTAATTTTTTTTTTTTTTTCTATTATACCATTTATACCCATAATAGTCGGTTACCAACCACGTGAAGTTCATGTCACGTAATCGATGGTATAATAGAACCAAAAAGAAAAGTTGGTTGGTCAATTGGAAATAACTTAAAAAGCAAATAAAATGTTATTGTTTGCTATTTTATAACATTTTCATAGAAAATATTAAAAAAACTTTTAAACACTATTTATATATTCAAAATTTTCGATTTTGCCTTAACTTTCTTGTCTTAAAAATATTTAGATGAGCCATAAGACAAAATCTTTTTCAACGATAATTTTCCGTTTTCTTCTAACTTCATTGTTAAACGTATATAACTATTTATAAGACTCAACAATTTAAGCATTATATATTCAAATATATTAAAATTTATTTTGTTTATTATATTATTTCTTTTCCAAAACAATCCACTACATATAAATTGTTAAGTCTTATAAATGGTTATGTGGGTTTAACAATAAAGTTAGAAGAAAATGAAAAATTCTCGTTGAAAGGATCTTAATTGTCTTATGGATGGTCTAAATATTTTTAAGACCGGTAAGTTGAGGCAAAATCGACGATTTTGGTTATATAAACTGTGTTTAAAAGTTTTTTTTTAATATTTTTTATAAAAATATCATAAAATGGCAACCAATAACATTTTATTTGCTTTTTAAATCACTAAACTTATATAAGTGTATCCAATTGACCAACAAACTTTTCTTTTCGATTTTATTATACCATCAATTACGTGTACACAATCGGTGATGTGGACTCCATGTGGGTTGGTAACCAGCCATCACCGGTAACAATGATATATAGTACAAAAAAAAAGTTTGCAAGTCAATTGGGTACAATTAAAACTTCAATGATCTAACGGTTAATATTTGTGTTATTGGTTGCCATTTTGGATCATTTTGCCTAGATTATTTGGTTATTTATGGATCCAATAATCAATTTGATACTAGCAAAGGGTAAAGAGAAAATTATTCTTATACTGTTATTTTATCTCTTACTTCTTTAAATAATTAGAATTTTACAAACACATAAAACAATGGAAACTGATTGGAACTTAAACGGAGTGTTTGGTTCGCGGATTTTGCTGGATTCCGAAAGAAATGGAATCTTGAATTCCATTCCATAACATGTAGATTATTTGATTGCCAAACATATGGAACTGAATTCCAGGAGATTACTTCAAAATCCATGTTTGAGGGATTTTATTATTCCTAAAGGTGGATGGTCAGTATTGAGTGCCAAATTTCATTTTTTCTAGAGTGAAATATGATTTTAGTACTTGGGTGTAAATGGTTTTTGCAATTTTCATTCCAAAAAGTTCTCTAGTAATTTTGGTCCCAAAAAGTTTTCTTTGTCAATTTTGGTCCTTATTTAAGGTCCGTGTAACGTTGTTGGTCCCCCGAGTAAAATGTCTAGGTTTGGTCCCAAATATAATTGATTTTGTAAATTTAGTCCCAAAATTAATCATTTTACTTGGAAAATGGACCAAAACCGTTACAAAAACCTTAAATAAGGATAAAAATTACATGATTTTTGCAATTTTAGTCTTTAAAAGTTTTCTCATGTATTTTTGTTTGGTCTCAAAAAGTTTGCTTTGTCAATTTTGATCCTTATTTAAGGTTCTTGTAATTTACACTGTTTTCATAAAAGACCAAAATTTTCTATCATTAAACACAAACAAATTCTTGGTTTTAACATAATTTACATTCCAATTTCTTTCACATATTCACAAATCAAACAGAAAACAACAAAGGAACGAGATTGAATTCCATTCCATTTTCAGTTCCATTCCTTCCAAATGACTTTGTTCTTATTTGATTGCAGCATTGAGTACTGGCCTGACCCACAACGAGGCATCAAAGAAGCATACAGGGTTCTAAAGATAGGAGGAAAGGCATGTATAATCGGGCCTGTATATCCAACCTATTGGTTGTCTCGTTTCTTTGCAGACATGTTTATGCTGTTTCCAAAGGAGGAAGAGTACATCGAGTGGTTCGAAAAGGCTGGATTCAAAGATGTCAAGATCACAAGGATTGGCCCAAAATGGTATCGTGGGGTCCGTCGCCATGGTCTTATCATCGGCTGCTCTGTTACCGGAGTCAAACCCGTATCAGGGGATTCACTGTTGCAGGTAATGCCAATTTATGCAAAAAGGTTTCGTTTTTGGACCAAAAGATGCAATATTTTACTATATTGGAAAAGAATTGTAATTATATCGGATAGATTGGTAAAAATGAAAAGGTTTATTGCATAAATTTGTAAGCTTTGAAAAATCTACCCGATTATACCACTGAAAATAATTCCGTTGCAGCTGGGCCCCAAAGTAGAGGAGTTGAGGAAGCCGGTGAACCCGCTTGTGTTCCTAGCCCGGTTTCTTGTGGGTGTGATGGCTAGTGGTTACTATGCCATGATCCCTATTTACATGTGGCTCAAGGACCAAATTGTCCCCAAAGGTCAACCAATCTAAGTCTTGTGAGATGGTTCAAGTCTGAGTTGCATTTTGGTTTGTATGATATGATATGATGCCTTGTTTTCGGTTTAAACTTCAAGACGCTTGTGGTTTGTTTCTGTTTAAAGTGTAACAAAAGTTTCATGTCACATTTATATGTGGTTTGTTTCTGTTTAAAGTGTATTGACATGAAAGTGGATATTCCAGCTATCGAATATCGATCCCTATGTTAAGGAGTTTTGTTGGCCGTTTGTTGATGCATCTTTAGCAATTTTTAATGTGATGGCATAATCATATAACTAGAGATTCCACTAAGGATCCCTATGTCAGCGGAAAACTACACAATATACCGTTTTAACATATTTAAGAAACATTAATAGTATCTTATTTGTTTCCATCAAACAATATTTTATACAAAGGGCATCAAAGATTCATTGATTTCTTAGCCTACAATTGACAATTGAATACATCCACATCTTTCGGGCTTTGGCGTCTCCGTTCTCATCAAATGCAAACAACCGAACAACTCACACCCAAAACATCATATCTCCTATCGCTTTTCTTGCTCTTCAAATTTCCACTTTCACCCCTACTCTTTTATCCATATCAACATCCAAAACACACACCACACAGAGGCATTATAGTAAGTTCACATTTTCCTGAACTATATATATTCTCTAGAATCCGAAACACATAACTCTGATACTTTAATCTAAAATTCAAAGAATATGTCGTTCAAGCTTCCACCAAATCTCACGCCCTATGATTCGAGCCCAGAATGGATGAGCAAAGGCGACAACGCATGGCAAATGACCGCCGCCACAATGGTCGGCCTCCAAAGCGTACCAGGGTTAGTCATATTATACGGCAGCATCGTGAAAAAGAAATGGGCCGTAAACTCATGTTTCATGGCCCTTTTCGCGTTTGCGGCAGTCTTAGTATGTTGGGTCGGGTGGGGGTACCAGATGTCTTTTGGTTCAGAAAAGTTTCTACCTTTTTTAGGAAGACCAAGCGTCGCGTCACTGCGTGCTAGCTACTTAGTCGAAAGAGCATTTTCCGGGAAGTTGCCAAATGCGACGATGATCTTTTTTCAGTTTGTTTTTGCGGCGATCACGTTGATTTTGATCGCCGGAGCTTTGTTGGGGCGGATGAATTTTTATGCGTGGATGTTGTTTGTTCCGGTTTGGCTGACGTGTTCCTATACTGTTGGTGCGTATAGTATATGGTGTCCTGATGGATGGTTGGCCAAGAAAGGTATTATTGATTATTCCGGTGGTTATGTCATTCATCTTTCTTCTGGAGTTGCTGGTTTCACTGCCGCGTATTGGGTATATATATAACTTCGTATTCAATCAACTACAAAATCGATTGCTTTGTTGTAGTGAATGTTCTGAGATTTTATGATGTGGTGATATAGGTGGGACCAAGGGAAAGTAAGGACAGGGAGAGGTTTCCACCCAACAACATATTGTTAATGCTTCTAGGGGCGGGCCTACTATGGATGGGGTGGACCGGGTTCAACGGAGGCGATCCTTACATGGCAAGTAGGGATGCATCTCTAGCGGTGCTTAACACGCACGTGTGTGCTGCCACAAGCTTGCTGACGTGGCTCATGCTCGATATCGTGTTCTTTGAAAAACCATCGGTTATTGGCGCCACACAAGGCATGATCACCGGTCTAGTATGCATCACCCCAGCCGCAGGTAGTTACCTATGATATGATACAGAAGAGATACTAATACTTGATACGGATACTTTTATTTATGTCGATACTGATACTAATACTGATTTATTGACAGGAGTGGTGCAAGGTTGGGCGGCAATAATAATGGGAATATTATCGGGTAGCATACCATGGTTCACAATGATGGTGGTACACAAGAAAGTCTCCCTACTAAAACAAATCGACGACACCATGGCAGTTTTCCACACTCATGCGGTGGCGGGGTCGTTAGGTGGCATTCTAACGGGCTTTTTTGCAGAGCCAAGGCTAAATCGTCTTTTCTTCGACATAACAGACGGGTGGCAACATTATGTTGGGCTTGTTTATGGGTTGAAAATGGGCCAGGTTCGGGCTGGGTTCAATCAAATGTGGATTCAGTTATTAGGAATATTATTTGTGGTGGGGTGGAATGTTGTTGTAACTAGTTTAATTTGTGTTGGGATTAGGGTCTTTATGCCTCTTAGATTAAGTGATGAGGAGTTGGAGATTGGGGATGAAGAGGTGCATGGAGAAGGTGCGTATGCATTGTGGGGTGATGGTGAGAAATTTGAGATTTCTAAGCGTAATTCGTCTCAGTCTCATGGTTTTAATGAGTTTTCGGCAAAGGAAGGAAGTAATTTCCGATAAATCTTTTTTGAAATCCATAAATATAAAACAATATTGTTGTAATAAAATATACGTAATGCAATTAAACTTGTATGATATTTTTTATTAAAACAAATATCACCGCTAACAATAAAATATTTATGTGGTTCATGAAAAATTAATGTTTTATATAACTAGTTGTGAGATCCCATGTATCACATGAGTTAATTTAAAATAAAAAAGTTAAATATAAATGTCAAAATAGAAATTAATATCTATTTATTACTATATTTATTGCAATTATTATATTAAAATATTATGTGAAATTTAATAAAATGGAAAAAACCCATAAAATGATATGTGGAAAAAGAAATTAATTCAAAATAACAATAAAATGATATTTGACAAATTGAATGAGAGTATGACAAATGACAAAAAAAAAAAAAAAACATTCATTTATTAGAAAAGATATATGTAATAATATATCAATAGGTAAGAAAGTAATGGATTTACGATTATATATATACATATGTATCTTGTTCATATAATTTGGTATTATACATATGTATCTTGTTCATATAATTTGGTACACTAATAGGAATTAATAATATAAATATAAATATAGTAATATAAATTATACAATTAAGTAAAATATTACACTTATATTAAAAGTTTCTATTGAAAACTAATTAAATAATAAAACACAAATGATAACATTAACTAAAAATTAGAATATAAAGAAAATGTATAACATAAAAAAGTAAAAAATAAAAAATAAATTCAATTGAGATGCACTTTGGGAGACCTTAGTAATTTTACCAATATTACAAATCTCATTATAAACAAATATAATAAACATAAGACATTAAGGTGTTGTTTGTTTTTTTGAAGCGAAAATATATGAAGTCTGCGAACCACCTCTGCAGCCCTCTGTAGCAGAAGAGGTGGACCAAACGGCTACAACGTGTAATAAAAAATCTGTTTGTTTTTTAACGTCTGTAGACAGCTGCAATAAGTTAAAGTAAGGTGTGAAGATGTTTGAAGCAGATGGTCTAGTGATGTGTCACACATCACATGCGCAACAATTTTTAAGTTAGAAGTCTTCTGGAAAACAAACAGCTTCGAATGACCAAGTGTTGCACGTGTGCTGCGTGGCGCATCAATAAGTGGTCAATGTTTTTTTTTTTAGAAAAAACAAACAACAATTAAGACACACAAGTCATTGGAGGTCCTAAAGCCTAAGGTCACAATGACTCTATTATGACATTACTTGTTTTGTGTTCATCTAAACATTGTAACAGATAAAAGAAAATAAATATAAACATCATAAATCTAATCCTCAAAAGAAAAAAAAATACAACCACTAACGAAGAAGAATGCATACATGTTGCAGCGATAATGGTTGGGTGAAGGTAGGCGACAGGAAATGTGAGATAGGGAAGGGTCGTTGCTCTCCGATAGCTAGCATCACTTCTCTAGTGGAAGGGGATCTTCTTCCTTGTCTTTCACTTATTTTTCTTTTAACTCTTTGAAGATATTTTATTTATTCTCTAAACGTTTGATAATGTTATCTTTTTTAATTTCTACAACTTCTCTCATCCTATTTTTCTTCCTATTTTATCTCCTTAATTGTAACTAATATTCTCGATTCTGTCATAAGGAAGAACTCGGCAAGTTCATGAAAGAACTCGATGAGTTGGATCGTGGCCCCAACCTTCTCTTGTTATTGAGCAAACTCAGTTAGTCTAGGAGATGACTCGGTGAGTTGGCTAAGTTTTTGAGGCTTTGAAGATTGGGAAACCCGACGATTTCAAGGAAGGACTCGATGAGTTAAAGCGAGAAGTCTTGATACTATGGACAGGAGGAACTTGACGAGTTGTGAAAGTACTCGGCGATTTGGATTGAGCTTTCTGAGTTTTATGAGTTATGGAACTTGACGAGTTGATGGGTCAACTCGGTGCGTTGAGTCAACTCGGGACATTGACTTTGACCAAACCCTGTAGGGCTATGAAGTATGTAATAGGTTCTAAAGAGTAGTTCCATGTAAGGGTTAGGCCCAATTGGAAATTGGGCCATATATTGGGCTTTTTTGGATTTTATGGTTTTGAACCTTATTGGTTTTGGACTTGGGTCTTAGCTATGGGTTTTGTTGGTCAGGGGTATAATGGTTATTTTACCCTAATATTTGGATTATGGATCAGGGTTTGAGACCCAGTTGCTAATTGGGTGATATTATGCTGTTAACAGCTCGGGGAGTTTCAAGGGCGGCAGCTAAGGATTTCTTGCAATGGACTTCAACAGTGTGAGGTGAGTTACCTTCCAGTGGAAGTGGGTCTAAGGCACCAATGTCGGTCTACTAGTAGTTAATTATAGTTTAGATGTTTGTCTTTGTGATAATTTTATGGTATGCTAGTATCTGTTATGATATATGTGCTAGTATGCTATGATGTTATGTGATAAGGGTAGTAGGGGTAGGTTAGACCCCGTAGCCGGTTGAGCTAAACCGGATGGTAGGTTGAGCACCTAGATATGCTTGACATGGATAGGTTGGGCACCCTATATATGCCTACAAGTATGTTTATGATATGTTATTATGTGGTAGTGGCAGGGGTGAAATAGTCCCCGTAACCGGTTGAAATAAACCAGAGGGTAGGTCGGGCACCCAGATATGCCTGGTAGGGGAGCACCAAGATATGCTTGACAGGGGGTAGGTCGGGCACCCCGGTATGCATGACAAGGGTAGGTTGAGCACCCAGATATGCTCAGCAGGGTAGGTCAGACACCCATATATGCCTGGAAGTATGTTTATTGTATGGTATGTAGTATGATAGGGGTAAACCCTAAACATTTGGGTTTCTAGCTGATCGGAGTACGCCCGTCATTCTCCCACGTACGCCCCAACG